TTGAGTTTAACGGATGGACTTCAGGGTAATGACCATTTGCTCCTCTTGGGGTTACAAATGATTGGATTGCCGTGTGGACTTGTGATTTGCTATTTCTGGTGGGCCCTGTTATTACCATGCTTGGTTAATAAAGACTCCTTAATAAACCCTAGACATGTCTAGCGTGATCTCGCCTGCACCCAGCCACAAAATTCCCCAGAGGCAGCAGTTGTGTCCATCTTACTCTCAGGGCTCTGAAAACACTGTGTTAGGAAAGTGTGGCAGTACAAAGAGGAGATGGGGGTCAGGCAGACTCACAGCCAAATTGAATTTACGTTGTAAATTCACAGAAGTGATAAGCTGCCAAGCTATAGACTGAAACATGTGGCAGGGACAGGCGTGATGGCCCAACTGACTAATCCTCTACCTGCAAGTGCTGGCATCCCATACGGGCTCTGGTTGACGTCCAGGCAGCCCCGTTTCCCATCCAGCTCCCTGCTTGTGGCCTGGGAAAGCAGTCAAGGAGGGCACAAAGCTTTGGGACCCTGTACCCATATGGGGGACTTGGAAGAAGCTCCTGACTCCTGGCTTCAGCTCAGCTCAGCTCTGGCCTTTGTGGCCACTTGGGGAGTGAAGCCGTGGACAAAAACTCTCTGTATTTCCTTCTTTCTGTAAATCTGCTTTTCTAATCAAAATAAATAAATATTTAGAAAGAAAATAAGCAGCACATAGCAGAAGCCAGTTCCTTATACTCCTTCCCGGGGTTTGGCACAAAATGTTATGAAAGTGTCACAGCACAAAGACGAGACAGGAAATAAACTCACAGAAGTGACCAGCAACCAACCTGTGCACAGAAGCAGCAGGGGCGAAGGCTCAGTTTTTCAGCAGGCCGGGTGGGAGGATGACCTGAGCCCGACGAAGCTGTGGAAAAGAACCACGTTCCATTTCCTCGACACACAACAGAAGGGAGGAATGCGAGGAGTGACTCGACCACTGGCCATGAAGTCCTCCGCCATTTTGGACTCGGCACCATTTTAAATATCTGCTATCCTTAGTTCTTGGCTTCCTTAAGATTCCCGCGCCCTTTAGTTTCAAATTTTGTTGTCTGCCAATCCACTGTAACTTTGTAACCCTGTTTCCACCAATCCCTCAAGGCCCACCCACGGCCCTATCCACCAATCCTCATGGTCCCTCTCCCTAGTCCTCGCCCACTGCCGTACCAACCAATCCCCTGCGGCCCCGACAACTTTATCCACCAATCCCTCAAGGCCCGCCCACGGCCCTGTCCACCAATCCCTCACAGCACGCGCTACCCGCCCCCAGCCATAAAGGCACTCTCTTGTGCACGCCATCTTCTTGCTCGCCCCCTCCATCCCCCGTTTCTTTGGAACCCCTTCCTGCCACTGCAGCAGGAGACAGGAGCCATCTCTGTCTCTCCCTCCGCTCCTGTGCCCGAGGCCATCATCCCCGCTGGAGGGAAACCTGCCTGCATTGCTCACTGAGTCTGGTGTTTCCGCCTGTGCGCCAGATCGAAAAGAGCTTATGCTGAAAAGAGCTAGCACTGGGACTTTTATAATTTTAGGCTCTTCGGATTTGCGGGGGAGTTTGGAGAAGTGGGCTGAGGCTACAATAGCTTTTTGTGGGCACTTTCAAACTTTATAGGTTTTGCTCCCCGGGCAGGTGGAAGGAAATCTAAGAGAAACTTTTATACATTTTTTTTAAAGTTTATTTTTACTAGGAAAGTAGATTTACAGAGAGGAGAGACAGAAAGATCCTCCTTTTTGTGAAGTCAGTAGATTCTTCCGGGTCTCCGGCACAGGTGTAGGGTACCAAGGCTTGGATGTCCTCCCCTGCCTTCCCAGGTCACAAGCAGGGAGCTGGATGGGAAGTGGAGCACCTAGAACATGAACCAGCTAGGAGGATCTTATTGAAATGTGGTTCCTGCAGAGGCTGCTTTTGTTCATTGCTTTGGGGGAAGTCAAGTGACTGCTGAGCCAAATGCAAATTGAAAAGTAGTGCAAAGGTCCTGGAGGAGCCTGCCTTTGGGAATTCTAATGATGTTGACCTTGCCCGTCACACAGGTAACATGACTGTCGGCATTTGTCTTCAGGTGAATTCTTTCAGGCGGGGCATGACTGCACATTCCCCAGTCTCTACTTGACCCTGTTGGCATGAGAGTGTGACTCATCTAGCCCCCAACCACTTAGGATTGCTAGCTGAGCTGCACCCCAGGGCAGGCCCTCAGGAAATGCTCATGAGCATCAGAGGGAGGAGTCTGGCCAGGTGGGTGAAACACAGAACAAGATTTGAGGCAGTGTGCTTTCACTGGCCACCCTCACTAACCTTGGCCCTGGGACGCCCTTCCAAGTGCAGGACTTCTCTGCATCTGATACACATCAACTCGGCTTCCCGCACGTGCAGCCTCACCGGGCGAGACTCGTCTGCTACAAGGCAGAATCCGGGCCTCTACTGCCTTTCTCTTCTTTCCCTTTTGCTCTTGCCCAACTCTCTCTTCACCCCCTCCTGCAAATCTGACTGTGTAGATTGCAGCCAACATAGACATCTGAGGATGTAGCCAGAAAAGGACTAAGCCTGCTCGTAAGGCTACTCCTCCATTCCTGGAAAATCGAGTTTTAACAGGAAGCAGAGATGTGCATGGTCTTGGGTAGGGAGAGGGGGAAGGGCTGAAGGCAGGAGAGATTGTAACAGGGTCCTTGAGACCTTGCCAGAGCATGGACGTCCTCCTGCAGGTGTCAGGGTGTGATATGAGCACACCTGCATTCCAGGAACAGTCTCTTAACCCTTCTGCTTGTCCCCTTATCACAGAGAAATGCTGAGAGCCTGCTGGTTGCATGGAGCAGCGTGGTGCACGTCAGGGGCGGGCAGAGCTGCAGAGGCCCACACCACGCCTCCACCCCACCTCCCTGGGCCAAAACATGTTCTCCAACTTGAGCCAGTTGGACTTGCTTGGGTGGGGAGACTGGAGGGCTCAGAGGATTAGGACCTCACGCCCAGCCTTGGGTGAAGTACATTCCAGAAGCAGGTAAACAGGGCGTGGTGACCCACGCTGGCTCCTGGTGTGGAGGGCTGCTGTGGTCTGCTGCTCGGCCTGCCAGTTCCAGAACCGACTGAGGATCCTAAGCAGCCGTGCCCCCCAGAAGACCCCCTCAGCACCTCTGCTCTCTACAATAGCATGTTCATCCTAGCACCTTGTCTACACTGCAGGGGGGGGGGAAGGGGGAGGTCCCATTGGGGCCAGGAAGCTGGCCCTGGGCCAAGCTGTAACACTTTTTTTTAAAAAAAGATTTATTTATTTTTATTGGAAAGTCAGATATACAGAGAGGAGGAGAGACAGAGAGGAATATCTTCTGTTCGATGATTCACTCCCCAAGTGACCGCAACGCCTGGTGCTGCGCCAATCTGAAGCCAGGAGCCAGGAACTTTCTCCTCCAGGTCTCCCGCACGGGTGCAGGGTTCCAAGGCTTTGGGCCATCCTCGACTGCTTTCCCAGGCCACAAGCAGAGAGCTGGATGGGAAGTGGAGCTGCTGGGACTAGAACGAGCACCCATAAGGGATCCCAGCACGTTCAGGGCAAGGACTTTAGCTGCTAGGCCACGCTGCCAGGTCCAAAAGCTTTTTTTTTTTTAAGATGATTTATTTAATTTTTTTGGAAAGGCAGATCTACAGAAAAAAGATCTTCCATCCGTTCGTTCCCTCCCCAAATGGCTACAACAGTTGGAGCTGAGTTGACCCAAAGCCAGGAGCCAGGTTCAGAGGGCTTTTATTCACACATAGCTGGATGAGACAGAGGATTCAGGTGGTGAAGGACAGCTCCACACATGACCCTGCCTGCGCTCTCTTCCCTGAATTGTAAACAGTTTGTGCCCAAGCAGAGACCACAGAGCTGACAACTGTCACCAGAACACAAGAGCAAGGGGCCAGTACTGTGACATGGCAGGTGGAGGCACTGCCTGGGACACTGATACCCCACATGGGAGTTCTTGTTCAGCTCCTACCTGGTTCCAACCCACCTCCTTGCTAATGCACTTGGGAAAACAAAAGAGGATGGCCAAAGCACTTGGGGTTCTGCTGCCAATGTTGGAAACTTCAGCTAGACACAGTCTGGGCGATATCTGGAGAGTGAACCAGCACATGAAAGATCTTGCCATCACTCTGCCTTTCAAATAGATTGGGCCTGGCGCAGTAGCCTAGTGTCTAAGGTCCTGGTCTTGCACACACCGGGATCACACATGGGCGCTGGTTCTAATGCCGGCAGCCCCACTTCCCAGCCAGCTCCCTGCTTGTGGCCTGGGAAAGCAGTCAGGGATGGCTCCTGGCTTCGGATCAGCACAGCTCTGGCTATTGAAGCCACTTGTGGAGTGAATCACTGGATAGGTGATCTTTCCTCTCTGTCTCTCTTCCTCAATGTGCATCTGACTTTCAAATAAAAACAATTTTTTAAAAAATTGGTCAAAAAATAGACCTTTAACAAAAGTATTAGAGGGGCTGGTGTGGTGGCATAAAAAGTTAATCCTCCACCTATGGTGGCAGTATTCCATATGGGTATGGATTCAAGTCCCAGATGCTCCATTTATCATCCAGCTCCCTGATAATGGCCTAGGAAAGCAGTGGAGGATGTCCTAGTTGTCTGGGTCCCTGCACCCAGATGGGAGACCCCAGAAGAAGCTCTTGGCTCCCAGCTTCAGACTAGTCCAACTCCGGCCATGGCGGTCTTTTGAGGAGTGAACCAGTGGAGAGATTTCTTCCTCTGTCTCTCCCTAATTCTTGACTTTCAAGTAAAATAAACAAATCTTTACCAAAAGAGAGAGAGAGCGAGCATTAGAGCTATTGGAATGCAGGCAGCACCTCTCGTCCCCATGTCTGCAGTTCTACTCTTCACCGTAACACCAAGGTGGACAATGGGAAGGGGCTCCGTGCATCCCCGAGTGGCTCTGAAAGCAGACTTGGTGGCCTGTGTCATGCCAAATGCAAAGGGCCAGAATCAGGGACAGGCAGGCATTGTGCACAAACACTGCTGAGGTCCAGCTGGGGGCTCGGCAACAGTCCCCCCTCTGTCCCACAGCACACCTGTCTCTTTGGTTCCCTTACATATGAAAATTCCCTGCAGACAGTCCAGATTCTCGGACATCAAGTTCAACCCAAAAGGAAAGGAGGGAACAAACCCCAGTACAGCAGACGTCATTGTGGTAACAGTTTATTCAAGTCTCTGTGTGCTCTGGTGCCAGGACCAGGCTGAGATCAGCATTCCACTGTAATACAACAGTAGGTTTAACCATCGAACCAAGCCTGCTTGGCACCCCTAGTTAACAATTTACAGTACCTTGAAAGAAAAAAAAAAAAAGCCAAAGGAAAGAACCTGAGGAGCTTCCTTTGGGACTTTCCATCTTTAAATAGTGGACAACAGACAATAACTTAAACCCCAAGGCAACGTGGGAATTCAAAGACGCAGGGGAACAAGACAGGGAAGCAGAGAACAGCCAGGGGCGGAAAACGGACAGCTAATTACAGAGGAACAAAGCACACACTCCGGGGAACTCTACCTGAACTCTAAGGTCTGACATTCCAAAGAAAGCTTTTCTGAAACTCAGTAAAACCCATCTCCAACTCCGTCCCTCCATCTTCTACAAGATGCAGGCTTAGCCTAGATAGCTGAGTGTGTGTGTTTGGTGACTGTGCAGGAAGGTTAGTGCAGGAAGTCACAGGAGACAGTGAACAAGTTACCTCCCCTTTTTTCCTTATGACAACCAGGTACCAAGGGCCTGCAGCCAACTACGACGAAAGGGCTAGAGCCATTTCAAGTGTCCGAGGCATCGTGAGCTAGGCTGAGGCTTCCAAGCTCGATGGATCTGGGCACAGAGGGCGAAGCTGTCACAGGAGATACACATGGGCTACAGGAGTGACCCCTTTCAAGCCCCATGTGCAACAAATCCCTGAAGAATCATGGGAAAGTAGTCAGAAGCAGACAGGAAGTGAGCAGAGCCCTGGGGCGGCTCCAGGTCCAGGCACAGGCCTGGGCAATGATGACTGAGCCAAGGCACACATAGCCTGGGACATAGGGTGACCTCAGGGCTGCAGTGGACCCACGCTCAGATAATTATATCTTCTGAGCAGTGGTCCCAAAACACACTCAGAGGAAAGAGGAGGACTCTGGAAAACAGATTTCCTGTCCTGTGACCCTCGGCAGCGCACACAGCCACTGGGGCTCAGCCACCACATCCCTAGATGAGGTGATACCCAGCCCCCCGGGGCCATTGCAGAGTCCGAAGACAGACATGGATGCTTCAAGAAGCTCATGGGAAGACAGATTTAAAAGGGGCAATGCAATGGGCCGTGACACACCAGCATCCATTATCAGTATTGGACTTGGTCCAGGTTGCGGCACTCCTGATCTAGCCTCTTGGCTAATGCTTCCTGGAATACAGGAGATCATTATGGAAATACTTGGGCCCCTGACACCCAGGTAAGAGATCCTAATGGAATCCTGGACTCCTGATTTCAGTCTGGCCCAGCCCTGGTTACTATGGACATTTAGGAAGTGAGTCAGCAATGGAAAAACCTTTCTCCATCACTGTGTTCAAACAGGAAAACACTTAAAAGAATTAAAAGTTGCTTATTTTCATACAAATATTTTGAAGCCTGTGCAGTTTTTCCCATGGACTTACTTTTGAAAAAAAAACCATTTTTTGCAGGAAATAAATGCACTCATTTCATTTTCCAGGGACTTTCTGAAGCAACCCAGGTACAGCCTCCCACACAGAAGTTTATGTCTCCTACTGCTAGTCCCCATGGCCAGCATGGCTTTGGGAGGCCAATGATGAGAGTAAGATCGAGACAGGGAGTCAAAAACTACAGGAAAATGCAATGGATGTAAGGGACTGAAAACACCTCCGCTCACTCCAGCTCTCCTAAAATCTGGCAGGGAGGATGCAGAGACCTGGTCACACCTCCCAGAAGGCATGCCTGTTCCAAAGGGGTTGCAGATGGGGCTCTGTAGGGACTGGATCTACCACTGTCACATGCCTTCCTTGGAACACTACGCAGGACCTCCCAGGAAAGGCAGCTGAGGAGGAAACCATGCATGGCTCTCCCACAAACTTTTAGAAATAACAGACTTCTCCTTTAATGCCACAAATCATGTGAAGTTACCCTATCCATACCCAAAAAGGAGCTGGGAGAAGGCAAGTGGAGGACACCCTTAGTCACAGGCCCAGGGTTTAAACATGGCCCTCCTGCAGTGCTACTGTCTCATTCAGGAGTGGGGAGAAGGGCTTGTAGGGACCAAACAGAAAACTGACTTTACAGCAATACCTAAATCCTATCCACAGGTCCAGGCGACAGGCAGGTTGGGCAGGGCTGAGGCGGATGAGACAAAACTTCAAGAGGCACCTGAAACAATCAGTAATCAAGGTAAGATTCATATGCCAATGCCATATTTTAGCAAATCAGAATCTGTGGGGAAAAAAATCCAGTGGCTGCCGCATAGCTGGGTGAAGGTGGGTGGCAGGTGTTAGCTGGCAGGAAGGTCTAATTTGGAGGGAAGATGGGTCAGGGGAGAAGCAGGACTGTTTTCCAAGAGAAACAAGACTGGAGACCTGGGGGCTTTCTGTCTCCCAGCTCTAGACCCAAGGCAGGCTCCCAGCAGGGCACACAGGGAACCACAGGCACCAAAACTGGGGAAGAACCAGTCCTATGGGCTCAAGGAGTGACTGTCCCATTCAGACCCTCAGCAGGAAGCCCCTGAGCTTCCAGGACCCTGGATGGGGAAGTGGGTACAGCTCATCAGAACGGAAAATTCATCCACAGACGAAGAGGGAGGTTCTGAGGCTAACGAGGTAACTTGTGGATCAGCCTTCATCAGCTCCCATCTCCCACTTTCCAACAGTGGCACTGTTGGTGAGTTTCCAGGCAGCGCTGCCCAGGGAAAGCCAGGGGGGCTGAGCAGCAATGGGCTATCATTTCATATACACACTTATTCCTTTTGGAGATCTGACCTGGGAGAATGCTGACTTGCTTAAGAGAGCCAGCTTGCGATGAGTACCTAAGTCACCAAGGGCCCAGAAGACAGGAGGGGCAGGTGGCGGGTTAGGTTGGGTGGCATCAAACACTGTTGACCTCTCTCTCACACTCTCTTTCTCTCTCCCCCTAAAGGGCAGCCCGCCACAAGGTGAGGCTTGTCAGACCTGGATTTGGAGCCCCAGATGGGCAAGGCTGAACTTTCTTCAGCCCACAGTTGGGGTCCACAGCTTCGGGGAGATGTTGGCAAAGCCATACTTCTGGCACTGTGCTGGGGCTGCTTTCTCTCTGCCCTACACTGACCGTCCCTGGTACAACCCTCAGCAGGAACCTACCTGGCACCACAGCAGCGAGTAGCCACAGTTCCTTTAAGATTCTCTAAGATGCAACAGATGTTTCTGACCTCCAGATTAGCCCAACAAGCACCTGACTCCAAGACACAGGCTCCAAGAAACAAATGATGAAGAGGTCAAGCTTCTGTATTCACAGAGGGGCGGTCTGGACACATCTCTCAGCCCTGAAGAGTACCAGCCATCAGGCCCTCCCTGCCCTACTGCTATCTGTTTTAAAGAATCAGCATGCCTCAGGAGGTGTCTTCTTTGCATGGGAAGGGGTTCCAAGTGGGGGCTGTGGAGACAAAGTGGACTAAGTCAGGAATGGAGGTACAAGGGTGTCTCCTTATGTCACTGAGTAGTGGTGGAAAAGGGAGCTTTGTGAGGACCCACCCTATGACACATGCCCCACAGGCAAGTGGACCCTGTCCCAAAGATGCTTCCAGAAACTGGCCTGACTGTCAGTCATCTCCAAGCTGCCACCAACCTCTTACTTCATACGACACACATGCCAGGTGAGGTGGGGCAGCCAGAGGGATGCCTGTCATGACCAGATGCTGAGGAGTTAGATGAAAGAGCATGAGCACGTGCCTGGCCCTGGGGCCCATGAGTCACGCTAGGGCAGCTCCAGTCCCTCCTTTCCCAGAAGCCACAGGAAGGACTAGCAAAAAAGTTCCCTCAAGGCACAAGGGGCGAGAAGCACACTTTTGGCTTGAGCTACTCATCCCATGAGCATGGAGGAAGCCTCCTCGAGCAGCTGGCCAGGAGCCATCGGTGCTTTGGTGAGCTCCTCTGACACATTCTGCCATTGCCCTTGGGAGGGAAACATGTGATGGTGGCATCTCAAGTCAGGAAATCTGAGAGGGGCTAAGGTCATGCCGCAAAGGCAATCTGGGGAACAGAGTCCTTGGCTCTCGGTGCCTGCACTTGAATCTTCATTGGTGAGCATTCACCCCGTTTATACCAGCATGTATTACCAAAGGCAGAAGGAAAGTGGTGCCATTCAGCAAAGAGCAAGAAGAAAATTGGCACTCCTCAGTTGCCCAAGCATAAGACATTGTGTTTGTGATGATCATCGCTGTTAGCAGATGCCAAGGATGCCAAGTTACAAGTCCCATGAGAAAACATAAGGATAACTACTGGCAGCAGCCTGGGGTCCCTAAGGAACGAACCGAGGGTCGTCAAGTTGACTACCAGTGGCAGGACAATACAGAATCTGTTGCCATCCCCACCATGCAAGTGGTGAATTCTTACTAAGGACAGAAGGAACAATGTCTCCCAAGGGATGCGAAGGAAGCAGATGAGGGAAGCCCCACTATTGCCACTCAATGACTTCTAACACTGCTTTAGGATATGCTCTAGTCCTTGACCACCAAGCAAGGGAAAAGGACTGTACAGAAATCAATCCAACTTGCCCGTTGCAGCCTTATCCCATCTCCTGCCCTGCTCCAGATACTGTGGCAGGCAGGGGCCTCCACAGCCTGGCTCATAGAAGCCTCAAGCTGGTTTTGCAGAGGCTCAGCGGGCGTCTTCAGAATGAGCCTGCTTTGCTTCCTTCAGGTACAATGACTGTCTAAGCAGAGCCGCAGCAATACCTGCTCTTTCCCCTGGGTGGGGAAGAACCAGAGGCCACCTCTTATTCAGTGTCAGGTGGCCATCCTTTTGTCTACACTGCAATTTCCAAAAAAAAAAAAAAAAAAAAAAAAAAGATGGTTGCAACCAAGCAAAATGGAGAAAAGGAACAACAGGAAGAACTACAACAAAAACATGAGCAGAAAAACCAATCCCTGCTTCCTAGCACAGAACGTGGTCTAGAGCCAGCACAGTTTAGATTAGGCTATAGGCTGTGCCCTGGCAGAGGGCCACTTCATGGAGCCAAGGGTTTAGAAGAGCAGCTGGTGGCTGAGAGCCTGGGGTTTTGGGGGCCCCAGGAAAGGGTATGGTACAGAGTCTATTTATCCCTTTATGTCATTCAAGAAAGAAGAATCATTTGGCTGGCTGGAATTGCTCATAAAACTCACATTTCCCCTCCCCCCTATCCCAGGAATAGACGTCTAGAGGTAAAAATGTTTGCCTCCCAAAGAGCAGCAGAGAGATGAAATACAGTAAGAAAACCTGGGGCAACAAAACCACCAGTGCCTCTCCATCTGAGACACAGCAGAGTCCTTGAAAAAAAAGTGCCATCAGGCTCATAAAGCAAGGAACAAACCTCAATACCAAAGTCACCCTCTTAGGCATCCATCACACCTACAAACAGCAGTGGCTAAACCCATCACATGTGTCAGCTCTACCACCCTCCCCATCCTGGCATCTGATGATGCCGCAAATGCAAGGAACCTGCAGCTGGGCTCAGTGTCTCTGGGAGATAATTCATGGGAGGACAACAGAGCAACAGGGAGGGAAGAGGGACAGATCCCGAGGACTCTATTTATAACCCCGTTCTCATTCCCACTGCTCAATATTTAAGTAAAGGAACCAAAATTCGAGCAAAGCCTCAGTTAGCCTCTGTGGTCCTTCCTACCCAGTCGATGGGCCAGAGTGCAGCACGGTCTGTGCAGAGATGCCAGGAGGCCATCTGCAGCCAGTTTCCAGCTGGGAGACTCGGGAGCTGGAGGTCTGTGCCCATCAGTGGCTTGCTGAGCATTCACCACAGCATCACTCTGCTACAGAGAAGCCTGTGAATGCTCTTTACTTCCAAGGACATCCTGGCTAAGAAGGTCCCCCTCCAGTCCCAGCTCCCAGTGTCCAGGGTCCACCCTCACAGACTATCGTGGTGCACTGCACAGATACCTACCAATCAAACACAACCCAGAGCCTGCTCATTCCAGACACTGGAGGGGAGTCCATGGGGAGGCAATGAAACAACAGTGATCAGACAATAAAACAGATAAATTCAGGAGCTTTGCCTCTGACTTCAGGCAGGCACCAGTGAATCTCCCAAGAAACTCTTCTGGGAAGAGCAAATGTTTGTATCCGAACTTGATCTGACTGTGTTTGGACTTTGTATCATTAGATGGATACCTTTGACAGGTGTCACCTTCTGCTCCAGAATGTTTCCAAAAGGAACAAGGATGGACTCTGCCTACCTTCTCCCCTGGCCTTTGGCTGTGTTCTTCCCAACTGCCTCCTTTCCCTGCAGTTCCCCTTACCATCTGTGGGCTCAAACAGGTGGGGCACCTGGAAGTGCTGGTAGGTAGTGACAGGTGGGCCAATCTATATGTCCTCACACTTCAGCCTTTCAGCTAGAATGCAACAGACACAGGGAACTTAGAACTCACATCAGACAAGATTCCTACTCAGGGGTGTTGGGGGAGAGGGTAAAAAGGACAAAATCAATCCCAGAACATCCAACCCCAGAGTCTGGGACGGCTAGACTCCGGGCTGAGGCGGGCCCTAGACAGCTCTGGGCACATCCCACCGACCAAGGAGCAAGAGGAGCAGACAGATTTGGCTGGGTGACTCTTCAGGGTCACCCTCAAGGCGAGGAAGACTGTGGGGGGTTGGAGGTGCACATAGGCACCCCATCTTTCCCTACACAGCCAGAGCTCATGTCCATAGTTGTTCTCCTAGGCAAGGGCAGAAAGCCCCTACAGGGGCAGAAACTCTGAAGTGGCCCTGTATCCACCCTTTCCATCTTCAAAGTGCATTAACAGTGCAAGAAGTAAGATTCAAAGGGCTGTGCAGCCAGCACCCCCGGTAGCCTCCAATTCCCCCATTGCCTCTGGCTTCCCACATCACATGCCCCCCCACCCTCATCGCGCTAAGACCAGAACTCTTGCTGGATCTCATAAGGGGCAGGCCTGTGCGTGTTCAGCTCTGCTCTGCACAGCGGCACAGTGCTATCCTGACTCTGCCCCTCTGCGTCCAGGTCCAGGAGTGTCCGCTCGCCTGGGGGCAACGGCCCTGCCTGGAAGGGGAGCAGGGCTGGCAATCCGGGCCGCTCCTCCACAGTGCTGCTGCTGCTAGCAAAGCATGAGTCCAGGTTGCTGGGTGTCTCTGTGCTGGAGCTGTTGGCAGGAGAGGCGCTTCGGGCATGACTGGGGGACACAAACCACCAGGGGTCCAGCCGCTGCCGGTTGGCAGAAGGACGTGGCCGGGGCAGGAAGTCCAGGGTCTTGGGTCTCTCCAAGGTAGAGTCCTGCTGGGAGCTCCACCGCCTCGGGGTTGGGGGAAAGACCACACTGGGGTCAGGGAGACGGGGGAATTCGCCGGGGTCTCGACTGGGACTGGGGGTTTTCAACATTCCTGGTCAAGGAGACAAATGGGAGAGCCGTCAGATGATGGCACCATTACTCCTGGGCTACCCAGTACCCTCCCACCTCCCTGCCCTGTCATAGCCTCTATGTGGGATAACAAATGGGCACACATTTACTGAGCATCTACCATGTGCCGTGTAGTGTGCTGGGAGGCTCTGGGGAGACAACAGGGAGGTACAAGGACACGGCTCCAGTACCAGGTACACACGAGGCCACATCTGTCATGAACTAACTGAAGGCGGTGTCTGCAGATAATGCACAGGGGTGCCACCAGTGCTTATAAGTCTTCCTGGAACCCAGCTACATTCCATGTCTCTACCTTCCTTTCATAGCTGTGCAGCCGAGCAGTCACAGTGGGCTCTGCAACATCCACACAGCTGGTGACCGTGTTATCAAAACACCTGATAACCCCTGGCAGAAGGGACTGTCCAGTCCTTCACTGATCTGGCATTTAACAAACATACGATGGGAATGATGATATGTCTCAGAGGTCTAACGGGGAGGGAAAGAGGGTGACATGAGAGGTCACATGGGTGGATCTAACCAGGAGCTGGCCATCAGGCTGAGTGGTGCTGAAGTCTCACCTCCCTCTGTCAGACTAGCGGACATTGGAGGAGCATGGTGGGAGGAAAGCCCTAGGATGAGAGTGTGTGTCTCTGAGCATCTAGGGAGTCAGCTGGGCAGCAGTTTAGCTAGAAGCATCTCCAGGACTACAGGGCGAGCATGAGTCAGGAATGAATGTTGAGGGAAGTGACGCATGGGTGCAAGCTCATTTTACAAGCATGTCTGAACTAGTGGCTGTAATGGGAGGCCAGAGGCCAGGAATCCTTCCTGCGCCCTGCAGCACATTCCCCAGGGAGTAATCGGAAGCTGGGCTTCTGCCCTTCTGCCCCCTGAAAGCCCTGCCCCCGACAGGTCATCCCTCCCCTGCAGAGGTCTGAGCTGGCCTCTCCTTTGCAGCCTGCTTGCCGCCTTCTAACTCTCAGGGAGGCAGGAGTCGTCAGCTGACACTGGCCACCCCATCCCACATATGGGTGATGGTACATCCTGAAAAGGTCTGAGGAACCTGCAGATGGCTCCCTGTGGGGAGCGCAGGACTCACCTGTGTTGGGGTTGGGGCCCAAGCCATTGCGGGATGGGCTCCTGCTGGCTAGGACAGCCTCTGGCTTGAGGGCCCCATCTGAGGGAGTCCGCCGGTGACTGCTCGGCTGCGCAGGGGCCGTGAGGGTGACGTGGGTGGGAGTCAGGGACTGGTGAGGGTCTTGCTTGAAGCGCTCCACTCGCACGTTGACCAGGGGGTTGTGGGTGCAGGGGGTCCCGGGTGGGGCTTCAGCCGGGCTGACTGGCATCTCATACACTACGATCTCGTCGCTGTCGGAGCGCAGCAGGGAGCGGGTGGAGTTGCACTCGGAGATGGAGGAGAGCGAAAGCAGTGTCAGTGAGGCCGAGGGGTCTCCCAGCAGCAGTGTGGGCTCCTCCTTCTTGAAGAGCTTCCGGGATGGGGGACTGGTGCTCCGACGGGGCCGGCCGGCCCGCTGAAAAAGGCCTTCACGCCTCTTTTTCTCTTCCCGGGCTGGTGGCTCGGGTTCCTCCGGGGGAAGCAGCTGGCACTTGCCAGCCTCCAGCAAGTCGAACCCGAGGCCTGTGGCCGCAAGCACAGCTGCACAGCCAAGCAAGGCCACCTCACAGCGGCGGTGGTGAGCACCGCCCCGCTTGAGGCTGTTGGTTGGGGTCAGCTGAGGGGTACTGGTGGCTGAGTTCACTGGGGTGGGCTCCTCGTGGCCTCCGTCGCTGGAGGGGCCGTCCCCATCCTCGCCGCGAGGAAATGGGATACAGAGGTAGGACTGGTTGGGTGAATGCTGCAGATGACCCTCTGTGCTCTGCAAGCCTTCGATGTCCTCATCCTCTGTGAAGAAAATGGCAGTGAGGAGAGACAGGGAGGAAGCAGTGAGAGTAAGGTTCTGAGCCTTTCCCTAGCTCTAGGCTTCCTGACTCAGGGTCAGGAAGCTTGCAAAGATCAAATGCTCTGATGGCCAGGGATGTGCTATTTTCTGGATGGGGAAGCAATAGTGCTTTACCTGCTTACACCAAGACAGGGAAATCACTCTAGAGGCCCCATTCCTGTTTGCAGGAAAGGGGTCAGCTAGTTTGCCACACCTTTAGGAGGACCCATCACACAAGGGCAGTATGATTTTCCAGAACATTGAAAGAACAGACACATTCCTGATGCTGTTTGATTTCAAGTACGGTGGCCTAGCGACTTAAGACCACCCTCCCACAGCGGGTTAGAACTCCTCGTTATGGGTGATGGGCAACGTGCTCTATGGAGTCATATATGCTACAACCCTGGAAATCTACAAAGCTAAGAATATGAGGGGGCCAGCGGGGTAGCCCAGTGGCTGAAGTCCTCACTTTACATGCACTGGAATCCCATAAGGGCGCCAGTTTGTGTCCCTGGCTGCCCCATTTCCCATCTAGCTCCCTGCTTGTGACCTGAGAAAGCAGTCAAGGATAGCCCAATGCTGTGGGGCCCTGCGCCTGTGTGGGAGAACTGGAAGAAGCTCCTGGCTCCTAGCTTTGGATTGACTTAGCTCCAGCCACTGCAGCCACTCGGGGAGTGAACCAACAGAAGGAAGATCTTTCTGTCTCTCCTTCTCTCTGTAAATCTGACTTTCCAATAAAATTTAAAAGAGCATGCAGGGATCTTCCAATACTTCGTTGGAAATGTGTATTATGTCACACATGAGGGTTGGTCACGTAAGTAGAGGCCAATCTAGCCTATGTCTCTGCTTTTTGACCTGCCACGTGACTGACCTCTGCACACGTTCTGCCATCAATCTCATTAGACATCAGACCAAGGAGGCCACTTGACCTTAGACCGTGAACCCTCCCTCCTGAGTAATTCCTCTCCGATTATTTTAGCTACAATAACAAAACACTGAGCAATACACCCAGCCTCCACTTTGTGCATGAGGAATGATCCAAAAGGAAAATGCAAGCTCCAAGGCTTTGGCCTTCTGCACCGCCCTCAGGAAATCATTACTGGGCTCTTAGGATAGGAGGTCAGGGACAAGCAACTTGGCAGTTGTAGTAAAAAACAAACAAGGAAGGGTTCAAGATGGGAGCCAAAAGTTGAGCAAAAGACGGGGCAACCTTCCACATGCTAAGGGTCTATAAACTATCCTGGATGTTTGGTCAAGAATGTTGCAAGGGAACAGAGCTCTAAGAGCAATGCTTACCCATCTCCATAAGGCTGGTGAACCCTGGTAGGGCTGGGCTACCCTTTGGGCCTTTCCCCAGGTTGGGGGCACTGGACGACCACTGCTTGCATCCGTCTACCAGTGATTTGAGGCTGAATAAGAGGAAACATAGGAACTGTAAGCACTGGTTACTTCAGCTGACTCTATCCAGCCATGTGGGTCCAAGGCAGTCCTCTCCCTGTTTTCCGAATGGCACTACAGAGCCTTGGCACAGGGCTACCAATCTTTACTGGGGTCCATTTCTGCTGCTTCACAAATAGAAGTACACATGCTCTAGGGCTAGGAAAGCAGTGGGAGCAGCCGCACTTGCTCACGTGCTGTTGTGGAGCGGTGGAATGACCCGGTGGGCAGACAGAAGCAAGCACTGCCCAGCCAGTGTGGAGTCTTGCATGAGCCCATGAGAAGGAAGGAATGGGCAACTCACAGGCACTGAACACAAAACGCTCGCGAGAGCAGGAACACTGTAATACACACGCCTGCGAGGCGAGTGTGGGCATTAAGCTGGCAGGGAGGAGCCAGGCCACTCCATTCCCACCAAGGCTCAGCGGCTCCTCTCAAGCTCTGAGCATGCCTATGCAGCCTTCAGAGCTTTTCAGACACACACAACTGAATCCACAAAGCTGCACCAGCTCAGTGCACTTTGGGACAGACCCATGGGGTGGGACAGAACAATGTGCTGGAGCCCTCAGCTGGCTGTATTCCCATCCCTGTAATCCAGTGACTTTTAGAGGATCGGAATGGGCACCCCAATAACCCCCTTATGGAATGGGGGCATCAGAGATTCTAAAGCACTGGTCTCTCCCCTGCAGACAGTAAAAGGGGGACTGAGGCATCTGCGGTTGCTTTGGAGACAACTGTTCAACCAAAGCCGTGCTCCCAGAGCTTCCTACAGAGAAGGGTCAACTTTTTCACTGACCTTGGAATCTAATTGTCAGGGAATTAAATTACAGTCCAGCTTACTGCTGGTTTCATATAAAACACAGACCAAGAGCTAAGCAAGCTGTGTAACCACAGGCGAGTCCTGCAGGGATCACCTCCTCACGTCACTTCCAGCACCGAGGCTGACCAAGGACACCCCAAGTAACCAAGTCACAGGACACACATCGTTTATCACCTCCCTCACTAAGGGTGACAGGAATACTCCAACAACCAGAGAGCTCAGGGAGGTGAGAACTCAGGTGCAGTGACAGAGGCAAAGGGGTCTTCCCAAAGTGCATGACAGTGCTGCCGGAAACAGCAACAACCAACGAAAGCCAGCTTGGCCCTTGCAGCAATGAGGTTTCATCCACGAGGCATGCTGTGGGAACGCGGTAATGGGAGGGAGATGCCTACAGCACAGCTAGCGAGAGGGTGACAGTGGGACTCACCCCAAGTGGAAATGTGGAGACTCTGATGGGGTACTTAAGCCATTAGTTTTCTCACGTCTCTGGGGGGATCTTCAATGAACAGAGACAATCAGTAGTGGCTGCTGGAGGGCCCGCCTGACCTCTTTTCCCACCAGAACCCCCAAGGCTGCACTAGGGCTATGATGCCAGCCTCCCTGCCAGTTCCAGACCCAAGGCCCACTGTTCCCCAGTGGCTTTTTGTCATTACACACCTTTGTCAGAAAACAGTAACTAAAATTAGAATTGTTATCATATAGAGGTTTCCCCAAATTCCTGACATTAAAGAATTCTTTGCTCAAGACTTTGTCTTCCCGAATGGGAAGTGAGGGTCATGAAAGAGTAAGTCATACATTTTGAATGTTTTCAAAAGTTGGTGAGGAAGTCCACATATGGAAGAATAAAATTTAAGAAGTCCATGTTTTGTAATGTGAGGGAGATTTGCTTTCCTACCAAAACAAAATGTCTGTAAATGAAGCAGAAACACAGAAATTGCCAGGACCCAGAGCCAGGCCAGTGAACTCTGCCAGGAATCACACCGAGGTTAGCAACGACAGGGATCCTGGGTGAGTCCTGTGGGCCTGTCCCAACCCGCCTCTGTGCCGGGCTCAGAAGCACAGTGGACAGCTCTTGCTCTCCAAGCACTCAGCAGGGCACAGCAGCAGCCCGCACTCCTCTAAGGACTCAAGTACTGGATTGTGGCTCAAGTAGTCTGTCCTACACATCAAAATCCCTGTCCAAAGGTATCTAGTTGCTGCTAAAGCCTGGCTTCAGAAAGCTAAGTCTATATGGGCCAGGTCTCTGCGTTTAGCTCAGACCTAACACAAGGGAATGGGCTTTAGATAGGAAACCTTAGAATATCAACAATTATGAATGTCAGTTACAGGCTCAAAGCACCTATGAGAATACAGAGTTCTCAAAAACTTCTTAATATCAAAATACATTTAATTCCAATTTCCACAAACGTTTTTAAGTCCCCTCCTTAGAAGCCTAAATATCCAACTTTAGAAGTTCTTTGGAGGGACTAGCACAATGGCTCAACTAGCTAATCCTCTGCCTCTAATCATGACATTTCATATGGGTGCTGGTTCATGTCCCGGCTGCTCCACTTCCCTTCCAGTCCCCTGTGTGTGGCCTGGGAAAGCAGCGGAAGATGGTCCAAATCCTTGGGACTGACCCTGCACCCACATTGGAGACCTGAAAGAAGCTTGTGGTTCCTGGCTAAAACTAAGCAAATATTTTTTTTAAATATATTTTAAAATATATATATATAAAAGATGCTTTGAAAAGTCACCAGAAAAAGGCAATGGGGACTGCTGGTTATCCTCACACTTAGCAAAGTCAAGACATATGGTTTGGGGGGGGGGGGCGCATGTCTAGCCTGGCAGTTAAGATGCTGGTTACGACACCTGAATTCCACACCGAGTGCTCAGGATGCATGCCCAGCCCTGCTCCAGCTCCTGATTCCGACTTGGTGATGATGCAGACAGAGCCTGGGAGGCAGTGGCCATAGCTCAGCTGAAGAGTGCTCTTGCCCCTAATACCCTCGTGGAAGTCCTGGACCGGGTTCCTGGTTCCCAGGTTTAGACCAGCTCCAGGGAAGGCAGGAATGTGGGGAGGGAATCAGCAGAAAAAAACACTCTTTCTGTCTCTCTGCCTCTCCAACAAGCAAAAGAAAATTTTCAAAAAGAAAAAGAAATACTTCTAGAGTCTAACACCAAGAATAGGAAGTATAAATGGTTCCAGCTGTTCCTTAGGTATGGTTGGCATAAAACAGAATGAGAGGCAAGGAGGAATCTTCCCAGCTCAGGTTGTGCTGAGCTTGCTAGAACCCACCTAAGCTTCTGCGTGCTTCACAAGGACAAACCTATTTAACCTTCCCATCAACTCCACAAGATGTGTCCCAGTACTGCCTGCATCTCATAGATGAGAAAACCTAGTCCCAGGGCGAGGCTTGGTGGAGCCATGTACATGTTCAGGCAGTCTGTACTGTAAAATGCCCAGCCTGAGAAGAACTAGGGGCATAGGGACACTGGGACAATGGGTTTCTGGGTCTCAGACCCACAAGTGAGAACAGAGCGCACCCAAGATACAAAGGCCCCATCTATGCAGGTCAGTGCAGCTCTGGGGGGAAGGCCTGGAAGGAGTTCTTGAGCTCGGAAGTCACAGCCAAGTGTACTGCCAGGGCTGGAGCAGGGTGAGTTCTGGTTGAGACAGTTCTGATGGTTCCTGCTCGCCCTTCTCACTCCTCTGTATCCCCTGCCAGGTACAGGCAGAACACTCGGGCAGCACATTCCCAAGTGTAGTTGATACTTGAGCTCAAGCTGCTGAGTCTCACAGTCCCAGGAGTCAGCAGACGCTCTAGTGGCAACAGTCAACCTACTGCCTGTGATTACAGGCTTGAGGGGCACTCAGCCATGCTCGTCTGGCCACACCATGGCCATGGCCAAAGGAAGCTCCTGTGCCCCAAGGACAGTTTCGTGCAGTCCAACAGTAAGGCCAACACAGCCTAAAGCAGTCACTCTCTGATCCTTAACACAAAGCGCCTTGTGAATCTCTGTGTTGCTGGGGAACAAGGAGATGGGATAATCCACTGGAAAGATCACAGGCCCTGTAATTGAAAGCACTGAGATACACACCACGAAGAGAAGGTAGTTCACGTTGTATTCTCAAATGGTGAGAATTTCACATCATCTGGTTCTTACCCTTCATCTCCTGAGGCAAGCTCTTTCTGACCCAGCGTCCCTGGCCCCCACGTCCGTCCCTTCTTTTTGGGGGCCCTCTTCTCTTCCTCCTCCCCTTCCTCCTTTGGCATAACCGAGCTCCGGCCCCAGGTCTTGCTGCTTTCGCCCGGTGTCACTGTGAACAACAAAAATTGAACAGGTCTGGAAAGTGGACAGGCAGGGTCCCCAAACAGGTCTACACCGCAACACACACACACACCCTTTCTCACACTCACTCACACGCACACACATCCACAGGTGCACACATTGGGAGCCACAGGGATATGAGACTTCAATGAGATCTGGGTGAGCAGACAGGAAAGTGAAGGGGGTTTCCAGATACTGAACATTTAGCTCACTAAGTGCTAGACGTGGTAAAGCTGGCTATGTTTTCACAGTCCCAATACAGAGCCAGCCACGAGAGCTCCAAACAGATCTCACTGTTTTGTTGGGAGGAACTGAATCAATGGCGAGGGAGTAGGGGGCTGAGGGGAAAACAAGGGCTAAGGAAGGTGGGGGAAATGCAGAAACAGAGACAAGAAAGGGCTGGTGGGAGTAAAAGAGTTCAGAGCGATGGAGGTGAGAGGAGGAGCACGGAACAGACCAGGCCATGGGCATCTATAATAAATGACTCCCCAAGTGGGCCAGAAAATGGGGAGCCGTGGGAATGGGTATCAGTCCTCGCCAATAACACCACCCACATGACAACACGGGGCTCACGGATTTGATGTGATTGTTCAAGGAAAGCGAGAAATCTAGGATTTAAAAAAAAATCTTCTTTACACTGGTCCACACACACACCCTCACTCACATGTGTTTACATACAAGATTACTTTTAAACGTTCACGAAAAATGGAATGAAAAGATATTTTGAGGCCCCCCAAAAATCTGAAATCCATGCATTGCTTTTTCATACTATGCATTTCCCAGAAATTTCTTGAAGATCCCCTCAAATGCAAGAATTTCAAGAAAATTCTTGTGTCAAAATCAGCTTATATTCCAATTCCACTTTTTCATGAGCTTTCTGAAGTACCCTCATTCACGGTTGTCTCTCTTTCTCTATCAATACACATATACACAGATATAGATATAGAAAAATAGTAAATATTATAGTAAAAATAAAATCCAGTCGGATGTGGACAAAAGACTAACAAGGACATCCAAAACAGGGCAGAAAGGACACTGGGTTTCCAGGCAGGGAACCCTCCGTGTCCACTTCACACACCACTTTCCAAACTGCTTTGTAAGTCAAAGACAGTGCCAGTAGCCACAGCAGTCAGTGGAGAGACACAAGGCGGAGGGCTGAGGGATGGGTATGTGTGTGCATGCTATATGCTTTGCTGAGGAGAGGTGGCAGTATTCATGGATGGAGCAAGCCTGGACCAGTGGGTGGCTGGACAGAGCAGGGGATGGGTGCTCCTGGTGTGTTTGGGCCCCAACCAGTTTGGGAAGCAGTCTCACACTGGATGGCTCGAAGGCGAGGGATGATGGTGGGGCTGGCGGGAGGACTGGAGCGCCTGCTGATAAGACTTTTCCTTTTGTCCATGGTGGGGGAGGCCTGCACCGTGAACTTGTGCTGGAAATCTGCTCGAGAGAAAGACAAATACATGCATATGCATTAGATTCTTCCCGTAAGAAAAGCCACACAATTTATCACCTGCCGTCAGGCCCCAGGGATAAGGCCCCATTGCCTACAAAGCTCAGTTCACCTGGGAAATGTTATTTCAGAACCGTCTTTTTTTCCCACAGGGTGTGGAAGGGTAAATGGATGAAAACGATGGAAAAGTTATCACCCAACTGAACTTTGTGAATCTTCCTAAAATTCTCTACACAGTGCACACAGGTGGGAAGCAAACAGCTTTTTTGCCCATGTGATGATGCTGACCAGTGAAGGAAAAGAACTTACCAATTCATATGAGCCATGAACTCCTAAATCGTTGAGTACACCACCCACTTTTCAGGACCAACACAGGGGACTGATGCTTTACACGAAAGCTGGGTGGGGAACGGTGCTGAGGGCCAACGCTGGGAGGGCACCAGAGCAGTGAGGGAGCCAGGCGAATGACCCTCAATCTGACATACTCCCAAGGCAGAAGGCCTGTGCGGCTCACAGCTTGAGTCTCCGAGCTGTGGCCTCCTCATCCATATGAGAAGCACAGTGACTAGCTAGCAGCTGCTGGTGGCCCCGGGGATCTGCCCCTGAACCCACCCTCCCAGCAGAGGGAAAGTGCAGCTTTCAATCAGCACCACCGTGCCCAGCAGCACCCAGGCATGTGCAGACGCTCAGGGGACCTACAACCTGGTGCTGCCTAAAAAGAACAAAACAGGCAGCAAGGGGACCAGTGCCGTGTCCCAAACACCTTCTCCTGAAACGGCACGACTTCCCATGACTGTCCTTAGGCCACCCTCCCTAGTCTCTGTGCCTTGGTCCCTAACACACTCATAAGCTTGTCTCTCAGGGCCTCCCTTATTCGGAACACAGGGCCAAGTGCACATGTGTGCGTGTGCGGATGCAGACACACACACACGTTTCTAACTTCATTCCTCCACATCTCCCCAAGGCTGTCGGGCCACAGCAGGACACATCCTGGGAGATCAAGTCCCATGAGGTCTGTAGCCCATCCTCATCTGTGCTAAGGAGGGAATGCACCCTTGAGATGAGTTCTGTCTCCTGTGTGACACGTACACAGACACACACCAGGGGACCCCACAGTTCCCACAGGGAGAGATGTGCCCATGTCAGCTGCAGGAGCGTTGCCCCTTGCAGGCCCTGCTCCCCTGCAGTGGGGCAGTTGGCTGCTCTCTCCCTCTGAACGCATGATCCTGCGTGAGACTGCGAGCATCGGTGCTCCTTGTCCTGTTCCCACTTTGGACCTCCAGCCACTGACCAGAGGGCAGGCTGATGCGGTTGCCATCCTTGAGCTTCAGCCGGCTCTTCCTGAACTTGCCCTTGCGTTTCTTCACTCGGGGCTTCTCCTGGCACAGCTGGTGGATGATGATGTGGAGCTCCCGCTCCAGGATGTCGATCTCCCGCTCGGCCAGCTCCTGCTCACGCCGCCGCAGCAGCTCCTCCTGGTTCTTCTGCTGGAGCGCTGCCCGCGTCAGTTCCTCCTCCCAGGTGCGGAGTTCCTGCACAGTGGGCGGGACCAACAGAGGGGGTCTTGGTGGTGAGGCCCCAGGGGCCCTTGAAGGGCTAGTGCTCCCCACAGGTCCAGAATTTCCCAGGATCCCCAGTGGAAAGAAGGGGCTGAACACCTGTCTACCCCAAACTGTGGGGCAGGGAAGCTCAGGATTGTCATAGGGGCAACATCAGAGAAGCTACAACCACAGGTCAAGCCCTACACATGGCAGCTGAGAGATTGACATGAGCATTTGGTGTAATATAGTCAACAGCACCAACATTACAGCTGCAAGTCACTTTCTAGTGTATTACATGGGACAGTGCATCTAAATTATGACAGTACATGCTTGAACGGTGTCACCCTCTTGTTAGAATGGGTTTAACTTCTGATATAGCAGCGCCCCCATCTATGCAGGGTCTCCCCAAGACCTGACGTGGTTGTCTGAGATGTGGAGAGTACCAACCCCCGTATGTACTGCACTCTCTTCTGCACAACAGAGTGCTTCAACTCAAGGAAAAAAGAATTAAAAGAAATCCTTGCATATTTTTTTCATAGTTCACATCTTCCATGAAGTTTTGGAAGACTCCCCCATATATATGATTTCATAGTTTTTTATATCAAAATGAACTTATCTTAGAATTTTATTTTTCCACAAAATTTTTGAAGCTCCCTCATGCAAACACCTATGATAAATTCAATTTACAAATCAGGCCAAATGAGAGATTAATAACTATAACTAATAATAAAATAGGCCCACTATAAGAACATAGTAAACTTACAAATCATTATTTTCTCAAATTTCCTAACAGTCGTTTTGAAGCCACAGTTACAAGGAATTCAAAAGTCTATGTGAACACCCCTTGAGGTCCTCTCTGTCCCCCTTAGGTCTATCCTGCAAGCAACAGAAGTATTCACAATTGCCTTGTAACTATGGATGCTGAAAACTAGCAAGAAGGGGAGAGTTAATTGTCACTGAAACAGAAAGGCAGATGGAGTTGTCCAGAACCCCCTGGTTGGTTTCGGCTTACAGACAAAAGGCTCTAAACACACACAAAGTGCCAACTAACTTCCGATCCAGAGTACTGTCACCCTGTGCCACCCAGAGAGGCTGTGGTTCTCAACGTTACAGCACTCTGATCTCTAGTTAACCTTCCCCTACTGTGGAGCCAGGAAACCTTTCTAGAACTCATGTTACCTGCTGGCAAGCTGAGACGCCCCACTGGTAACTACCCAACAAGCTTCTCCTTGGACAGCTGAGGAGACATGGAGCAGGGAAGTGAGCCTGGGAAAATCGGGGAGGTGGGCCGAAGAAGGGCTGCCAGCTGGGTGTGTGTTTTTTTCACCGTATTCTCTCTTCTTACCTTTTCTTTGGCCCTGAGTTGGTCAAACATCTCCTGGATCTCATGTTTCCAGTCATCCTGCAGGCAGTGGAAGGAGTCCTTGGGCATTTCAAAGAAACCAGACTCCTCGATGGTAGTCAGCTGGTCCAGGATGCTTGTGAAAGATGGTCGTGAATGGGGATCGGGGTTCCAGCAGTCTGAACGGGACATAAGGGGAAGCAGAAGGCAGGAATGGGCAATCGCAAGCCTTAGAATCTTGTGGGAACTCATTTAGCACAGAATTGTCTCTCCTTTCAAAAAGAGACTGACTTTCAGATAAGTCCAAGCAAGGTTCAGGTTACAAAACAAGCTGCCTACCATCAGTTATAAAGAACGAAGCTGGAGACAAAATCAGCAATTTTACACCCACTTGAATCTGACTGTCATGAAATGTAAGAAAAGCAAGTCCACGGCAGTTCTTAGGTCAAGTATGACTACCTTAATGTACATGTCACTGCATGATGCAAACCCAAACCATGAGCAACTTTGTCCTGACACTCAATTTCCCATAAATCAATGGGCTACCCTATCTTCTCACACCTCAATGGATGACTAGGCAGAGATAAAAAGCATTAGAACTGTAGTTAGGAAAAGTAAGTTCTTTCTAATCCCAGTCCAGACAGTAACCAGTGCGGTAGCCATCTGTCCATTGAACCTCTTTGAGCTGTGGATTTCTGCTTACAAATGTATGGGATCTGACCAGATAAAGTGCTTGTTTGAGAGATAGAGGGACAGACAGACATGGAACTTCCATCCACCAAATGCCTGCAATGGCCGTGGATGGACCAGGCTCAAGCCCTCCCAGGTTTCCCAAGTCTCCCAGGTGGATGGCAGAGATCCAGAGCCATCACCATTGCCTCCCAGGGTGTACATCAGAAGGAAGCTAGAATCAAGACTGGAGCTTAGACTTGATTCCAGGCACTGCAATGTACGATGTGCATATCTTAGACAGCAACTTCAGTGCTGTACTGAACACCTGCTCGCTAAGCAACTTTGAGGGTTCCTTTCTTCTCTTATGTTCTTCATTTCTATATGAGGCATACAGCAGCCCTGGAATAAAAGCTGCTATATAACCGTGTCTTGCACTAAATAACAAAGGACTGAAGTGCTGGTCAGCAAGCTTTGGTCCTTGAGTTAACTTCCACAGACCCTGGGGCAGAACAGAAGGGCCTCTCTCAGCAGGGTGTACCCATATACTTCAGAAGGCCTAACAACTGCCCACAGAATTCTTCCCTCATCCTTGAGTAATGCAGCTTACGGCACTGGCCGAAATCTACCACGTGTCTGTCTCCATGTTCAGACAGGCCAGGGGTCACTTACCTTCCATGAGCCTGGCGAAAGGCTCTGGGCATGTCGAAGGAATAGGAAGAGCAAGTTTGTTCATGGCCACTCCATAGGCCACTGCCAAGCCATCGATGCCTCGGAAGGGTACCTCACCGGTCAGCAGCTCCCAAAGCAGCACCCCATAGCTAAGGAATGGAAGGAGATGACAGCTGTGTATAGTGAACCCCAAGGTCTGGGCCAACTTTGGAAATCTCTCTCTCTTAAATATCCCTATTTGTCTGACTAACCGTTCTTCAAAATCCAACTTAAATGGCTCATCATTCATTCACTCATTTATTCATTCATTTAAAATATCTGCTAAATATTTTCTTAGCATCAAGCTCAATACCAAGCACTGGGACAGATCTCATCCACTAAGAGATTAGTGAGTGGGACAGAATACAGGGTGATGGATCATGGGAAAGATCCTATGAGGACAAAGGAGCAGAATGGGGACAAGCGCTGGCCCTATACACCCTGGATGCTGAGTGAAGGAAGCAGGTCAGTGCTCCAGAAACAAGGTTAGCATACAAAGTTGATGGCTGCAGAGCATGGGCCTTCCCTGGGGCCTGGATCCAAAGATGAGCCACGGGTTCAATCACACACTGGGGCATCTGTGAGGCTGCAGGTGGGCTCTCAGAGACATCTGGCCAGTCTCCTTGGACAGTGGCTTGTTCCCTGGAGGCCTCCAAATATCATCAATCTTTAACATGTATCTACAGGGACAGACTGCTACTGGTCTTGTCTGGACAAGTAGCTGGATTTGGGTTGGAAGCTGATGGGAACAAGCTTGGACACTTTGGGAGGCATCTCCTGACATTCAGGGGTTCCTGAGTCCCATCCAAGCTGCCATATATTATTGTTGCTCATTTACCAGTCTATGGGTTCCTGAAGGCAGGCACAGTAGCTTGCAGCTTTCCCAGGGCTTCTCCCAGGCTCTAGTACACAGCAGGCATGCACAGACATGCAAACTGCTTTGTGTGCATGGGAATGAACCTACAGTCAGACGATCTTACAGGCTGCATTGGCTGCTCTAGAATCAACCTCAAATACCATCAAGAAGTACATCACTGTACTTCCTGCCAAACTGTTCTTATCGAGGCAATGGCTGCACTGGGAAATTTCAGCAAAGCAACCCCAAAGACCCATCAGATGTTGGATGCCAGCTTCCCACCTGAGGAACCTGCTCCTGGCACTAGTGCCACCTCTACTCTGGTGTCTGGGTTCCAGCCCCTTGCACAGACAGTGAGAGCAGGTTTCAAGGACCCATGGGAAACTTGTTTGTGTCCTTGGCAACGTCTGGCTGCTTCACAGAGAACAGCTCTGCTATTACCTGGCTCGTTTCTCCCATCCCTGCACTCAGCTCCATTGAAGGGCTGTACAGTGAAAAGAAACCACACTAAGTAAGACTTAAACAGACTTGAGTGAAAAGACCATATCACCTTGCATCCTTGCAGAAGCACCACTCATAGGACAACAGCAATGTCTGCCTCACAAAACAGTCAAAAGGATTCAGTAACAACAGTTACTCCTGGCCCAGCAACACCACCGATGGCTAAGACACGTGTGACTTCCCCCAGGACAGGGCCTGCGGAGGGCCATGTGGAGCCTGCGGCGTCTGCCGAGAGCCTTGTCCAGGGCTGCCTGCACTCAGATAAGAGGCCCTTCCGGAGATGACTAAGCCAGCCTGCTCTCTTCTGCCAACACTTCTCTTCATTTCTACTGCACAAGATGGGGGCCAGAAAGGAACACTCAGCAGGAACAGAATCTAAGAAAGACACTGGAGAAATATGAGACACAGGGCACTGAGCCACAGCCTTGGGTGCATGGCACAATGTCCGCGTGACCATTCTCTGCTCCTGAGGTCTGCTTTGTCATGCTCCCAGGGTTGGAGGAAGGGCAAGAGGACCATGCGAGACCACTTACAGACAGCCAGCTCAGCCAAAGCACTGCCAGAGTCCTTGCACCCCACAGAGAACCGCCAGCTTCCGCAGACCAGTCAGGTGTTTCCAGGAGCTCTCACTGCCGCCAGAGGTTCAACGAGCCTTGACCATTTCACAGGTCACCTTCACCTGTCACCTTCCCGACCAGAGTCAGAAGAACTCTCCACTACAACCAGCCGGTGACCCTGCATTAGTGCTAAGGCTGGCAGCTCCCTTATGTGGGGTGGGCTGAAGAAATCTTGCACTGGGTAGTCACCAGCGAGCCCACATTCCAGGAACCACATTGTTTAATGATCACTGGCAAAGATAATTGAGAAACCACTTTGCAAAAGTGTAATTTAGAATGCAATGCTTCTTCTATTGGACTCTCATTCAAATGAATATATATACACATATATGCATATGGACACAATCTGTTTAATAGCATGATAATGTGTCCAGTGGCATGAAATGTACAAGGCAGCTTACAAAACAGAACAATCTCATTCTAAGGGATGGGAAGATCAGCTCATGAAGAGAGGTAAACACACTAAAATACCAACCTGGCTTATTTGTAAAAGTGAGTTTAGGATCAGTGAAACAGAAACTAGACAGTGAAGGAGCTTCTATTCCTTAGGTCATTCCCCAAATGCCTGCAACAGCCAGAAGCTGGGATTGGGAGCTGCAGCCAGGCGTTGAAGCCAGGCAGTCCAATATAGAACACAAGCATCATAACAGCTAGGTCAAATGCCCACCTGTGTTGTTTTAAAAACTTAAAATGATCAAGAATGCATCGCTATTCCATCCCTCATACAACAAGAAGGAAGTCCCCAAGGACCAAAGCCTTCTGGGCATATCCACTGCTCTCCCTGCACAGCTCAACTACATGGGGGAATGCAAAGTCAGATACACAGAGAGGAGCAGAGACAGAAAGGAAGATCTTCCGTCCAATGATTCACTCCCCAAGTGACCGCAACGGCTGGAGCTGTACCGATCCAAAGCCAGGAACCAGGAACCTCCTCCAGGTCTCCCACACGGGTGCAGGGTCCCAAGGCTTTGGGCTGTCCTCAACTGCTTTTCCAGGCCACAAGCAGGGAGCTGGATGGGAAGTGGAGCTGCCAGGATTAGAACCAGTGCCCATATGGGATCCCGGTGTGTTCTAGGAGAGGACTTTACCTGCTAGGCCACGCGCTGGGCCCTAGGCTACTCTTCTTAAGGAGGTCCCTTCCAAGTTGACTGGGAAAACTTGGACCCAGACCAACATCATACCCTTCACCTCAGCATGAACACTTTGTGATTTGGTGCCCAGAGGGTGCCTAGAGTTTTGGCTTTTGTCTGCTGCATAAACTAGGTAACTCCCAATTGTCCATATTAGTAATTTGTAAGTCAAATTTAGGATCCGAAATCAACCTCATCTGTCACTGATGAACATTCTAGAACCTGCAACCTCACCTGACACTGCTACAGGGACTATGACTGGGAAGAAAGGAGGAAGTAGCAAGGACTGGGCACTCGCCTCTCTTGGTGCAGGTGTATGTTCGTCCTTTCCTGATGCTGCCTTCCACCCCTGTGAGGACAGTTAGGAGGTGGGGTGGGCTGGTGCTGCTTCAGAATTATCTGTGCAGGTTGTAGTCTCCTTGAATATGAGAAGGCCCCACCCCGCCCCCCATAACCACACCCAAAGAGCAAGAACAACAACTCAGCTGGCAACAGCAGAGCCCAGAGAGGCCCAGGATGAATTTCAGCAGGGGAGGATGGGCGGGGGCCCAGACTTAGTTGGTGTCTGGTAGTCAGCAAACAGTTCTGAATGAGTTCAAAATGAACAAATAGGTTACAACTTGGGAGCCAAGATTGTAGGCTCAGGCTAGCCCTCTCTTGGACAGCCTGCTGGATGTCACTCACCCTGGGAAAGTGCAAGTGTACACGCACGGTCACTCGGTACAAGCGAGGCTTAAGAGTCTTGTGCTTGGTTCTGACCACAGCTTCTGCCTACGCTTAAACACGTAACTTAATGGGTACAAGTACCCACATCTGTAAGACCGAAACAACAGCACCCACTTTGGGCATTCTTGTGAGGATTAGTTGAGATGAAATGCAGATGGCAGTAAATATATAGCCTAGCCCTCAAGCATTTGGGTCTGGGAAGCTGTGAGATCAGCTGGGGCCACTTAGAAGAGGAGAGAGGAATTAAAGAGCCATTCAACGGAGTCCACAGACTATCGTGAAAGAAAGTCTGTAGCATGAATGCTAAGAAAACTCGACGGGAACAGGCTGAATTCTGTTTGCTAAACACAGTCATCCACCAGTGAGTGAGGAGGCTCACATCCTGGGAATGATTTTAAACCAGTGACCCAGGCCCAATGCGGTAACCTAGTGGCTAAAGTCCTCACCTTGCACGTGCCAGGATCCCACATGGGCACCGATTCATGTCCCGATGGCCCTGCTTCCAATCCAAAAAGCTCCCTGTTTGTGGCCTGGGAAAGCAGTCAAGGATGACCCAAAGTCTTAGGACCCTGCACCCATGTGGCAGACCGGGAGGAGGCTCCTGGCTCCTGGCTTTGGATGGACTCAGCTCTGGCTATTGTGATCACTTGGGGAGTCAATCAGTAGACAGAAGATCCTCCTCTCTGTATATCTGACTTTCCAATAAAAATAAATACATCTTTAAAATAAATAAATAAATAAGCCAATGACCCACTGGCAGATTATGCAACAAAGTCCAAGATTTCATCCAAAGAGCTGATGATCTGGGGTTTGCCTGTAAGCTGTTCCCCTTACAGAGCACCTGTTTCATGAAATGCCTCTTGCAGGCTCTATGAGTAAAGGGCAGGACCCACAGATCAGCCTCAGAACAAGGATCCCGTGAATTAAAGCTAAAGGTCCCAGATGACACGGGCGTAGCCGATAAAGCTACCATCTGTGGTACGGGAACCCCTCAAGGGCTCCTGTTCCAGTTTCAGCTGCTCCACTTCCAACCCAGCTCTCTGCTAATGTGTCTGGGAAACCAGTGGAGAACAGCCCAAGTCCCTGGGTCCCGTTACGCACATGGAAGACCCAGAGGCTCCTGGATCCTGACTTCAGATGGGCCCAGCCCTGATTGTTGCAGCCATTTGGAAAGTGACTCAGCAGATGGAAGATCTCTCTTTCTGTTTCTTCTCTCCCTCTCTCTCCAACTCCAAATAAATACATCTTGAAAGAAGGCAATAGAAAAAAAGAGAGAAAGGGAGAGAAAAGCAAAGGTCCTGCCTTGCTCATTCAAAGGACAAATCCTTGCAACGGCCTTGTCCTTCCCACCTCTGTCACGATGCTTTCCCATCCCCTAAGCTTGTCTCTGGAAACCTGAAGCAATTCTGTCCAAGAAATCACCAGCAGAAACCTCTAGAGAATGTGGCACTAAAACCTGAAGAAAGTCAGGCTTGGGCTGGGAGAAGAGGCCAAGCACGCCCACGGGAAGCAGCACGTTCCGGAAGCATCATGGTTTCCCACGAAGAAAGGCCAAGTGAATGTCAGAAGTGGCAAATGGCTCATTCCCCTTCGTCCACAGTAAGGGTCGTGACCGAGCTGCCTGCTCCTGCCTCTCCTGGAGCCAGGCGTGCCCAAGTAACCAGTGCAGACAGCAGGTGTTCAGGGCTGCGTGCGGTTTCCAGATTGTCTCCCCATTAAAGACCAGCTGCTGGCATGGATGAGCTTTCTTCTTTTTATAAAAACAGTCGCTCATTTCGTCCACTCAGACAGAGGGAACCTGGCTTCCTGGATGATCCTGCAGCCAGGGCTTTCTGGGCCACACCTACAAAGAGAAATACGCTTCTATCCTAGTTCAGCCTGTGCGCCTCCTGGCAAAAGAAGCCTTCTAAACAAAAGGTCAAGCAACAGAACAATAAACACACACACAACTGCCATTTTTCCAGACCAAAACATTAGACATCAGTAAATAACTGAATCTAACAAGACTGGGTTAGACATTCTAAGGCAATAAAAAGCTGTTTCTCATTAACTACTTCATCCTTTAGTTAATATGTGGTTAAATAAAAATCTACACACGTAGCTACAGAGCATCACTGCAAAAAATTAAATAAGCTTAAACAAACGGAAAGATGTCCTATGTCCACAGATTTGAAAATTACTACATTCTACTGATTCCCAAGGTAACACGTAGATTAAACACAATTCCTACCAAAATCTCAGATGCCTATTTTAGAAAAACTGACGAAAGGATCCTTAGAGGCTTAAGCAAATGTTATAGACTTAAAATGGCCCAAACAATCTTGAAATAGAACAACAAAACTTAACTATGGAACTACAGTAACCAAAAAAGGATGGACCCAGTCTAAGGATACGGATGTAGATTAATGGAGTAGAACTGAAAATCTAGAAATAAACCCTGTAAGGTGGCTGTTAAAAAGGATGACAGATAGGCCCAGTGTGGTAGCCTAGCAGCTAAAGTCCTCACCTTGCACATGCCGGTATCCCATTTGGGCACTGGTTCATGTCCTGGCTGCTTCACTTCCCATCCAGCCCTTTGCTTGAAGCCTAGGAAAGTAGTCAAGTACGTTCCTAAAGCCATGGAACCCTGCACCCACATGGGAGACCCAGAAAAAGCTCCTGGCTCCTAGCTTCGGATGGGCTCAGCTTCGGCCACTGCGGCCACTTGAGGAATGAACAAGCAGAGAAGATCTTTCTCTCTGTATCTCCTTCTCTCTGTAAAAATCTGACTTTACAATGAAAACAAATAAATCCTTATAGAAAAGGATGGCAGACAAGTCAATGGGGAAAAGAACAATTTTTCAATAAACATCACTGTGACAACTGACTAATCAGATGGAAAATAATAAAGTTAGATCCCTACCTCAAACCACATGTAGATATTTACTCATAATGGGTCAAAGGTTGAAAAATAAAAGCCAGAATTATAAAATTCTTAGAAAAAAGCATAGCTATAAATATTCATGACCTTGTACTAGGCAATGATTTCTTACATATTAGACACCAAAACAACAAAAAACAGAAATTGGACTTGATCAAAATAAAGAATGTCTGCTTAACAACACCATTAACAAGATGAAAAGGTAGTCAACAGAATGAAAAATTTTGCAAATTACATATCTGTTAAAGGACCTGTATCCTGAATATATCAAAAACTCTTTCAACTTGAAAAAGACAGCAAACCCAAATACTGAGTTGGCAAGGAATTTGAGTAAACATTTCTGCCAAGAAGATATCACAATGGCTAATAAAAACAGAAAAAGTTAATTAACATCATTAGTCATTGGAGAAATGCAAACCAAAACCGCAATGATATACCACTGCACAGCCACAGAGACGGCTATAATTAAAGAAAGAAAAGAAATCGGAACCCTGTTCATTGCTAATGGGAACATAAACTGTAGCTGTGATGAAAAAGCTTGGTTCCTAAAACCATCAAAGATGGAACTATCATATGACTCAGCAACTCTACTCCCAGGCGTGTATCTAAGAGAACTGGAAATACACGTTCACACAATTACCTATAAACAAATAGCCACAGTGGCATCATTCATGACAGCTAAAACGCGCAAACTATCCATTGTCCGTCAGAGGATAAATGGATGAACATTACCTAGTCACACAATGACATATGATTAAGATATAAAAAGAATGGAGTTCTGATGTTAGCTACAATGGATGAACCTTGAAAAGACGACACCAAATTAAAGCAGCCAGTCACAAAAGACTAAACATTGCCTGATTCCAGTTATCTGAACTATCCAGAATTGGCAAACCAGTAAGTTAGTGTTTGGAAACAAGGGAATCGAGACAGAAGGGACTGGGCAATGGGGAGAGTTGGTAAGGGATTTTCTTTTTTTTTTTTTCTTTTTTTTATTTTATTTTTATTGCAAAGGCGGATATACAGAGAGGAGAGACAGAGAGGAAGATCTTCTGTTCGATGATTCACTCCCCAAGTGAGCGCAACGGTTGATGCGATGCCGATCTGAAGCCAAGAGCCTCTTCAGGGTCTCCCGCGCGGGTGCAGGGTCCCAAAGCTTTGGGCCGTCCTCGACTGCTTTCCCAGGCCACAGGCAGGGAGCTGGATGGGAAGAAGGGCCGCCGGGATTAGAACCGGCGCCCATGTGGGATCCCGGGCGTGCAAGGCGAGGACCTTAACCACTGCGCCACCGCACCGGGCCAAGGGATTTCTTTTTGTGGTTGATAAAAATTTCCCAGAAATAGACACTGGCTATAGTGGATTGAATCTTGGCCTTAAACAGGTATGGCCACGTCCTAGTACCTGGGATCTGCAGTTGGAATAGAACCTCCCCTACAGGTCTGGACAACATGTCCTTGTCACATCTGTCTGATCTGCAGAACTGCAAGAAATGAATTTCTGGGCAATCAAGACACAACCACTGACTTCTATGCTTTTAAGTATATAAGCAGTGAACTTTACAGCATATGAATAATATCTCAATCAAATCAGTTTAAAGTGCCCAGAGTGGTGGCCTAACAGCTCAAGTCCTTGCCTTGAACACGCCAGAATCACATATGGGCGCCGTTTCTGATCCCGGAGGCCTCGCTTCCCATCCAGCTCCCTGATTGTGAACTGGAAAAGCAGTGGAGGACGGCCCAAAGCCTTGGGATCCTGCACCCATGTGGGAGACCTGGGGGAAGTTCCTGGCTCCTGGCTTTGGATCAGCGCAGCTCTTGCCATTGTGGTCACTTGGGGAGTGAATCATCGAACAGAAGATCTTCCTCTCTTTCTTCCTCTCTGTATATCTTACTATACAACAAAAATAAATCTTTTAAAAATGACAGAAACAAATTAGTTTTTAAAAAAAAGTATATACACACATGCACACACATAACCTCATGGACTAATGTGCAATGTAACCTAAAGTCTTGGGTTTTACATGTCAAAGTGATGACATGGTCCCAAACCCACAAGGATCTATATAGCTGCTCATGCCCTCAGTGGACACAAGACTGCTTGGATCCATGTCCTTGTCCTCTCCTGGACTGACATTAACTAGGGTGACATTTCATCAGGTCTAGTCTGTGGCCCTGCAGTTCTTGCTGCAAGCCTGGGATCCATCTCTTTCCATTTCTAAACTAAGGTCCATCAGACAGAGCTGTGACTAACAGATCAACTAACTGGACTAACCCTTCTTATAGACCAACCAAGAAGAAACAGACAGTACAAGGGCCATTCTTCAGTTCAGGAGCTTCCATGATGTGCCCTAGGTTGGTTAGCCCCCTCCTTAAGTCCAGCAGGAAAAGCCACTTGGAACCCAGCACACTGCTGAGTGAGCCAGGCTGTTCCAGGTTAAGTGCCCGCATCATCCTGCAGCCAAAGATGGGAGTACACGCTGCCCCTGAATCTACTGGCCTTCCCTAGGTAACAGACACTGCCGCTGTGGTCTGTACCTGCCTCAGCACTAGAGGGTAGATAAAAGCATTGAAAACTGTCCCCCGGCAATGTGGCAGTTAGCCCTGATTGTTCGGGAGAGGTCTCCCAGTGCAACTTCTAGCCCTGAAGCACGCACACAGTCACAAAAACCCTGGGGGACACTGTCCCTACGGGCCTTACCTCCACACGTCACTGCCTTTGGAAAACATGGAGGCGCGAATGACTTCTGGAGCCATCCAAGCGTAGGTCCCTGCCGCACTCATCTTCGTGGTTCGGTGCCATTCCCGAGCCAGACCAAAGTCCGTGATCTTCAGAATCTTGTTGCTCAGGTCTCCATTTTCCACCTTCTGAAGGATCAATACTGGCCAAGGAAATGAAAGCAGGAGAAACCGGAGAATTCATAAGATACAGAACCCTACCGTCACCGGGCACCTCTCCCACAGGCTCCATGGCTCAGTTGCCCCGGATCCAGGGTCGTAACGGTTGGAGCTTGGCCAGTCTGAAGCCAAGAGCAAGGCACTTCCTCCAGGTCTCCCACATGGTTACAGGGGCTCATGCACTTGGGCTATCTTCTGTAGCCTTCCCAGGTGCATCAGCAGGGAGTTGGGTAAGAAGTGAAGCAGCTGGGATTCGAACCGGCATCCACATGTGATGCTGGTGCCACAGGCAGTGGCTTTACCCACTATGACATGGGCGCCAACGCCAGGAGCCACAACTTCCGAAACTCCTGCATTTGCATGTCATTCATTTCACAGTCATCATATTTAATCTTCACAAGAACTTTAGGAAGTATGTACTACAGGTTAAGTACTTTCAGACTGAAAATCCAAAATGCTTCAAAATCCAAAATGAATGTCCTGCTGACAGCTCTGCCAACTGCTGTGACAGCACAGCTGCAAGTCTCACCAGCTGGTGGGGCTTCCTGTCTGCCCAGCAGCCCTGACCTATATCCATTCACAGATCACAGAAGCAGGGGCACAGGGCATCTCCAATGGTTGAGACAATGCTGGGCAGCACCCAGGAACCTCTCTGCATTATTTTTGTATTGCTGTAATTTATTTCAGAGGCAGAAAGACAGAGTACAGACGACAGCACTCCTTTCACCAACAACGGCCACTAGGCCAGGCCGAAGCTGAGAACGTAATCCAGCTCTCCCACGTGGCTGACAGGAGCCTATCACTTCAGCCACCACCTGCCGCCTCCCAGGACCTGCGCTGGTAGGCAGGGTAGGAAGCTGGAGTCAGGAGCCTGAGCTTGGCTTCCAACCCAGGCACCCTCATATGTCTCAACAGATAAACGAACACCCACTCCCTCTGTATCACTGTAACTCTTGAGAAGTGTGACTGTCAAGACCCATGTATAAACCAGAAATTCATCCCCATCCACAGAGAAGTGCTGATCAACCAGCAGTCAGAGGTACACACATGTTCACACGTATGATGACGTGAACATGTCCTGGGAGGGAAGAATTTGGGCCCTGCAGGAGTTATTCCCTGGGTCTTGTTTCCCACATCCTAACCATGAAGCCCTGCAGTATGGAAGCTGCCCCCTGGCTCTCCTAACACAGTAGTTGAGGCCCCCAAGACAATCCAACCACGGGAGACACTTAAAGAGCAAAGCCAGGGCTGGTAAAGCTCCCAGTTCAAGTCCTGGTTGCTTCATTTCCAATACAGCTCCCTGCCGATGTGCCTGAAAAGCATTAGAATATGGCTCAAGTGCTTGAGTCCCTGCAGCCATGTAGGGGACCTACAAGAAGCCTCTGGCTCCACACTGCAGCTTCAGCTACTGCAACCATTCGGAGAGCGAACCAGCTCGCTAAGCACCAGGAAAATGCAAATCAGAACCACAGCGAGAAATCAGCCACAGGTGTTAGAAAAACAAACCCCGGCAAGGATGTGGAGCAAAGGAAATCCTTAGACACCATGGGTGCAGGGTGTAAATCAGTACAGCATTGTGAGAAACAGTACGGTTCTTTCAAAATTAGAAGAACTACCAGGATGGGCATTTGGGATGCAGTTAGTTGAAAGACACTAATTGGGACACTCAGATCCCATATGGGAATGCTTGGGTTCCAGTTCTACTCCCAAATCCAGCTTCCTATTAACGAGCGCCCCTAGAAAGCAGCAGAAGAAGGCTCAAGCACTTGAGTCCCTGCCAACCATGTGGGAGGCCTGGATTGAGTTCCTGATTTCCAGCTTCACCTGAGCTCGGCTCCAGCCATTACAGCCACTGGGGGGGGGGGACACGAAGCACAGATGGGGGATCTCTGTTTCTCTCTGCAAAAAAAAAAAAAAGTGCAACTACCATCTGACTCCAAAAGCCCACTACTAGATGTTTACCCGATCGGTATGCCAAAAGGAGATGTGTACTCCCCAGTTCACTGCTGCATTACTCGCAACAGCTAAGACATGGATTCAACCTAAGTGTCTATCACCAATAACAGGCTAAAGAACACACAGTGTATCCATTTGATGGAAGACAGCCACAAAAAGATGATGAAACTCTGTCATTTGGCAACACACGGACAGACTGAGGGATTAAGTGAAATAAGTTAGGCACAGAAAGACAAATACTGCAAGATCTCACTTGTATGTGGAATCTTAAAAAATAAAAATAAAATAAAAGCCACTCTCAAGGACATAGAGAACAGAATAATGGTTACCAGAGCTTGGAGAGGCTAGGGTGGAGAGCAGGTGGGAAAAGGTTTTCAATGAGGCAAAAGTTACAGTTAAAGCGCTGGTACTCCACTGCACAGATCACTAATAATGTGTTGTGCATTTCAAAGGGGCAAGTAGAGAAGATCTGAAATGCCTTATTACAAGCAAATGAGAAGCATCTGAGTGAAATCCTAGTTACCCTGATACATGTATTAATACCCTGATGCATAATGTTTTTATATACATGGATTAAAACATCACGTGGTGCCCTGTAAAGTCAAATAAAGTTTCTGAAAACTCAGTAACCTAGTACATTATTCTTGATGATCAGGACACCATCTATACCCCCATTTACCTGATATTTTTCTTTAAAGTGACTTTTTAGGGCCTGACGGCATGGCCTAGCAGCTGAAGTACGCGCCCGCTGGGATCCCATTTGGGCGCCAGTTCTAATCCCGGCGGCCCTGCTTCCCATCCAGCTCTCTGCTTGTGGCCTGGGAAAGCAGTCGAGGACGGCCCAAAGCCTTGGGACCCTGCACCCGCGTGTGAGACCTGGGCAAAGTTCCTGGTTCCCAGCTTCAGACCGGTGCAGCACCAGCCTTTGTGCTCACTTGGGGAGTGAATCACTGGACAGAAGATCTTCCTGTCTGTCTCTCCTCCTCTCTGTGTATCTGACTTTGTAATAAAGAAATAAATAAATAAATCTTAAAAAAAATAAAGTGACTTTTTAAACGGCTTAAAAAAACAAATTCTGTAAACTATTGTAAATGGGAAAGCCAAATAGTCTCCTAACACTAGGTAACCTGTAAAAGCAAATGAAAAGGCAAATGAATGTTGAGTTTCAGTACACCCTGCTGCTGGTCTGAACCCGAGGCTGCTTTCTGTGTTACGACAGGAAAGGCTGGACCTATCATGGAGGAATGCAAACCAACACCAAGTGGGCCTGCAAACTTCAGCTACTGAGGCCGAATGACTCTACTTAATGTACACCACCACAATGACCCCAAAGCCACCCCCTGCTGGAAGGCCCGAGGGACAAGTGTGGATGGGGTAACTCCAAAGAGGTTTGGGAATCTGGCTTAACATTATTTAGTTGGAGTCTGGGCTCTCAGAACTTGGCATAACCCCAAGAGACTCCCGCATTTGTTCCTAATGGTCAGTCTGGCTTCAGTTGATGACTTATCATTTTGAATCCCTTATTTATTATTCATCTCCATTAGCATGAGACGCTGCGATCTGCTCAGTGCTCACCTTGGCACCAAGGATCCTGTCCCCAGGCCTTCGGCTAGTCTGGATGAGTCAGTGCTCTCTCTCAGATGAAGCAATGGTCTAACTGTTCAGAAGGGTGTACTCTGGTATGATCTCTCACTCTCTCAGAAGTTTCGTGTTAAGTATCTTATGCACAAAAAAACTGCAAAATAATGCACAGGTGCTGAACGTGAAACCCACCTAGAGGAGCTTCCTTCCCTCTCTCCCCCCAGAAATCTCACAACATCGACAGGCTTACTCCCTCTCTTTATGAGCTCATCACCTGTGTACATATCCTTAAATAAAATAAGGTACAGTTTTGAACCTGCTGAGTCGAGTGAACATGAAGTGGCATGTGACAGCTCCCCATGGCTGCCATCACGAGACAGTACAGGGCCCGTGTGTAATCCAACACAAGTACGGTCACACACGAAGTCCAAACTCCTGGGGCCAGTAGGGCCATGGCCTCTCCAGGGGCTCTAGGGACAATCCTCCTTGCCTTGTGCAGCTGCTGGCAGTGGCCAGCAGTGCTGGGTGTTGCTGGGCTTGTGGTCCCCACCTGTCTTCACAGAGCTGTTCACCCTCTGTCATATCTGTTCCACAGTGTTATCCCCTCTGGCTCTTTTTACAAGAATGTTGGACACTGGATTAAGGCTCATCCTAGTCTAGGACGACATCTACAAAGACTCCATTTCCAAATTTTACCATATTTATATAGGCTCATTTTTTTGGTGAGAAGGTTAGACAAAGAAAGAAGACAAGCCAGGAAAGGCTCAGGAGCAGACCAGAACTTCTAAGCAAAGGGAGGACTCTGTCATGGAGGGTGTCCTGGGGTAGAGGCCGATCCCCTTGGGCCGCCCAGCTCCCAGAGAGCAGGTCCTCTTCCGAACGCTGCCAGGAAGACAGAGATGGGAGGGTAGGCCCTGAGCCATGGAGTGGGCAGGCTCGGCACGACATTAACTCTGTCCCCAACAACCCTGTGTTTGAGATGAGGTGCTCAGAACTTGCAATGGCGTGTGGTGGGATCAGTCCAGAACTCTGACTAACCCCTCTGTCGATGAGGCGACAGTATGGAATAGTAGAGGAAGAGGAAAAGACACACTGGACCCGATTCTCTCTACATCGTTCGGTTATTTATTTGACGGGCAGAGTCAGAGACCGAGATCTTCCTCCTACTGCTTCAATCCCCCAGATGCCCACACCAGGCACGGCTGTGCCAGGCTGAAGCCAGTATCCCAGAACTCCAATTAGATTTCCCTTGTGAGTGACAGGGACCCAAGTATGGAGCCATCACCTGCTGCTTCTCAGTGTGTGCATCAGCAGGAAGCTGGATTGGAAGCAGAGCTGGACCTTGCACCAAGGCACTCCAACAGGAGATGAAGGCATCCCACGCAGTGAGAAACACCTGCCCCCAATGGCATTTCACACAATCTCTACCACAGCCTTTTCACTTTAG